TACTGGGAAAAAATTTCCTTCTTTCCTACATACTCTAACTTGAGCCTCACTATCCTCGTAAAAACTCTTCACTGCTTTCAGTAACCTACCTCCTACACCATACACTTGCAACATCTGCCACATTGCCCCCCTATCCACCCTGTCATATGCCTTTTCCAAATCCATAAATGCCACAAAGACCTCTTTAGCCTTATCTAAATACTGTTCACTTATATGTTTCACTGTAAACACCTGGTCCACACACCCCCTACCTTTCCTAAAGCCTCCTTGTTCATCTGCTATCCTATTCTCCGTCTTACTCTTAATTCTTTCAATTATAACTCTACCATACACTTTACCAGGTACACTCAACAGACTTATCCCCCTATAATTTTTGCACTCTCTTTTATCCCTTTGCCTTTATACAAAGGAACTATGCATGCTCTCTGCCAATCCCTAGGTACCTTACCCTCTTCCATACATTTATTAATAATTGCACCAACCACTCCAAAACTATATCCCCACCTGCTTTTAACATTTCTATCTTTATCCCATCAATCCGGCTGCCTTACCCCCTTTCATTTTGCCTACTGCCTCACGAACTTCCCCCACACTCACAACTGGCTCTTCCTCACTCCTACAAGATGTTATTCCTCCTTGCCCTATACACGAAATCACAGCTTCCCTATCTTCATCAACATTTAACAATTCCTCAAAATATTCCTTCCATCTTCCCAATACCTCTAACTCTCCATTTAATAACTCTCCTCTCCTATTTTTAACTGACAAATCCATTTGTTCTCTAGGCTTTCTTAACTTGTTAATCTCACTCCAAAACTTTTTTCTTATTTTCAACAAAATTTGTTGATAACATCTCACCCACTCTCTCATTTGCTCTCTTTTTACATTGCTTCACCACTCTCTTAACTTCTCTCTTTTTCTCCATATACTCTTCCCTCCTTGCATCACTTCTACTTTGTAAAAACTTCTCATATGCTAACTTTTTCTCCCTTACTACTCTCTTTACATCATCATTCCACCAATCGCTCCTCTTCCCTCCTGCACCCACTTTCCTGTAACCACAAACTTCTGCTGAACACTCTAACACTACATTTTTAAACCTACCCCATACCTCTTCGACCCCATTGCCTATGCTCTCATTAGCCCATCTATCCTCCATGTAGTAAAATATTGTTAAGTACAAAGAAAGCCACTAACATGCATGAGCATTTTGGACAGAATAATCCTAATGCTTACACACTACATAAAACTAGCCACAGGTTATGGAGTGGTGAATTTTAATAAAACATTATTACAAAAAGAGAGGTACTAAAAAGTTTATAATTAATAAAATTTATAGTAGAGGGGTTGCAAAAAAATTACAGTTAGTACAATTTACTTTAGTACAATTTTAAGTGTGTTCTTAAGTTAATTGAGATTTCTTGAGTAGTATCAAACTGGTTCTGTGATTTCAGGCATAGTAAGTGTTGGTTTAGTTAAGTTTGGGAGATGAGGTGATTTTTTATTATAGCCCTAAATTGATTGGCAGACGGGGGACCTTTTGCTGGTTCAGGCAGTGAATTCCAAATCTTGGGACCCTTTATGTGCATTGTATTTTTGCATGGGTGAGATGGACACAAGGGATGTCAAAGAGAGTTCTGTGCCTTGTGTTGTGCCTTTGCATTCTGTTGTAGCTCTCAGGAAATTTGAGAGGAAAGTTTATATTGGAGTTAATGTAATGAGTGCATCTTTCATTCAACTCACCGGCCATATCCCACTAAGGCGGGTTGGCCCAAAAAGAAAGAAAATCCCCAAAAAGAAAATACTTTCATCATCATTCAACACCTTCACCTTACTCATACATAATCACTGTTTTTGCAGAGGTGCCCAGAACACAACAGTTTAGAAGCATATACATATAAAGATACACAACATATCCCTCCAAACTGCCAATACCTACAATTATGAGTGCATATTTTGTATATTTGAAGGGAATGTATAAAAGTATAGTGGTACCAACACTTTTATATGGGTGTGAAGCTTGGGTTGCAAATGCTGCAGCAAGGAGGTGGCTGGAGGCAGTGGAGATGTCCTGTCTAAGGGCAATGTGTGGTGTAAATATTATGCAGAGAATTCAGTGTGTGGAAATTAGGAAGAGGTGTGGAGTTACTAAAAGCATTAGTCAGAGGGGTTGAGGTAGTTTGGTCATTTAGAGAGAATGGATTAAAGTAGAATGACTTGGAGAGCGTATAAATCTGTAGGGGAAGGAAAGTGGGGTAGGGGTTTTAGTTTAATATGTTTATTATGCACCCCATACCCATCCTGTGGGCGATAGTCAAAAGATTACAGAGGTACATAATGGGTCCAGGGATTGGACCCCAAAGTTATGATAGCTGAACTAGTTACAAAGGTAATGAACTCCAAGTAGATCTGGTCACAATCATGGCAGGTTACAAAGGTAATGAATCAGCCTCACTCCTGTACATGGTTACAATCATGAACAAGTTACAAAGTAATGAGCCACTGACATGTCCACACCTGGTCACAGTTGTAATGAGTTATACATACAAATATTAAGTGGATCATACACCCACATGAGCGCGCGCGCACACACACACGAGGGCGCATGCACAGACACATGCACATGAGCATACACAGAAGCACGCACACCCACAAGCATGCACACCCACAAGCACGCACACTTAAGAAAGGAAACAGAAATGAGGCACTAAACTACAGACCTGTGTCTCTGACATGTATTGTGTGCAAAGTCATGGAGAAGATTATCAGGAGGAGAGTGGTGGAACACCTGGAACGGAACAAGATTATAAATGAAAACAAGCATGGGTTCATGGAAGGCAAATCCTGTGTCACAAACCTTCTGGAGTTTTATGACAAGGTAACAGAAGTAAGACACGAGAGAGAGGGGTGGGTTGACTGCATTTTCCTAGACTGCAGGAAGGCCTTTGACACAGTTCCCCACAAGAGATTAGTGCAGAAGCTGGAGGATCAGGCACATATAACAGGGAGGGCACTGCAATGGATCAGGGAATACCTGACAGGGAGGCAACAACGAGTCATGGTACGCGAAGAGGTATCACAGTGGGCGCCTGTGACAAGCGGGGTCCCACAGGGGTCAGTTCTAAGACCAGTGCTATTTTTGATATATGCAAATGACATGATGGAAGGAATAGACTCAGAGGTGTCCCTGTTCACAGATGATGTGAAGTTAATGAGGAGAATTAAATCAGATGAGGATCAGGCAGGACTTCAAAGAGACCTGGACAGGCTGGACACGTGGTCCAGCAACTGGCTTCTTGAATTCAACCTTGCCAAATGCAAAGTCATGAAGATCGGAGAAGGGCAAAGAAGACCGCAGACAGAGTATAGGCTAGGTGGCCAAAGACTGCAAACCTCGCTCAAGGAGAAAGATCTTGGGGTGACCATAACACCGAGCATGTCTCCGGAGGCACACATCAACCAGATAACTGCTGCAGCATACAGGCGCCTGGCAAACCTGAGAATAGCGTTCTGATACCTTAGTAAGGAATCGTTCAAGACACTGTACACTGTGTACATCAGGCCCATACTGGAGTATGCAGCACCAGTTTGGAACCCACACCTGGTCAAGCACGTCAAGAAATTAGAGAAAGTGCAAAGGCTTGCAACAAGGCTAGTTCCAGAGCTCAGGGGTATGTCCTACGAAGAAAGGTTGAGGGAAATCAGACTGACGACATTGGAGGATAGGAGGGTCAGGGGAGACATGATAACAACATACAAAATACTGCGTGGAACAGAGAAAGTAGACAGAGACAGGTTTTTCCAGATAGGGGACACAGAAACAAGGGGTCACAAAGCTCTGGAAACAGAGAGAGAGAGGACCTAGTAGCGATCAGTGAAGAGGCAGGGCCAGGAGCTGAGTTTCAACCCCTGCAACCACAATTAGGCAAGTACACACACACACGTACGTATGTACTCGAAAAGGTTGGAAGGAGGGGGTAAAGGAAGTTTTGTGGGTGAGGGGCTTGGATTTCCAGCAAGCTGTCATGTGCATGTTAGATAGGAGTGAATGGAGACGAATAGTTTTTGGGGCCTGATGAGCTGTTGGAGTGTGAGCAGGGTAATATGTTGTGAAGGGATTCCAGGAAACAGGTTAACCGGACTTGAGTCCTGGAAATGGGAGGTACAGTGCCTGCACTTTAGAGGAGGGGTTTGGGATGTTGGCAGTTTGGAGGGACTTCTAAACTGTTGTATTTGAGCACCTCTGCAAAGACAGTGATTATGTATGAGTGAAGTGAAACTGTTGAATGATGATGAAAGTATTTTCTTTTTGGGGATTTTCTTTCTTTTTGGGTCAACCTGCCTCGGTGGGATTTTTTCTTTTTGGGTCAACTTGCCTCGGTGGGAGACGACCGACGTGTTGAAAAAAAAAAATTGTATATTAACTAAGCTCAAACTCTTGAAGATCAGAGGGGTGTGTTGTCTGGCACAGGAGTTGGTGATCATCCACATAACAGCTTTATGTTAGGTTATTAATGGGTTAAGGTGATTAGACATAGTAGATCCCCAAGCATAAATACCATAGGTGAGGTAAGGGTAGATTAGAGAGTGGCATTGTGTAATGGTGCTGTTTGGGTTATATAGTACTGTAATTTGGAAAGAATGCCTACTGTTTTGGATGCATCACTGCACAACCCTGGTGGGTTTAGTGCTTAGTTTTTATTATAATAATGATACTGTTTTGGAGACCTTCTTGGCTCTATATTGGATGTTGGTCTGCAATCTAATGTTGCAGTCAAGGTGAAGACCTAAAAACTTACCCTTAGTGTGTCTTGTCAGTGTGACTTTGTCAATGGTCCAAGTCGGACCGAAACGTCGTCGTAAGCTTCTCTCTTTTATGTGCGAGTTATTTGTGTATCGTTCCAGTCACGGTATTGTGCCTTTTTTTGTTATTTATTGATCAGTTTAAGTTTGATATGGAACCATTTATATATATATATATATATATATGTATATTTCAGAATAGACCCAAGTGAGGAGTTGGGTGAAGAGTATCGGTGTGATTCACTGATATTAGCAAAGAGAGCTCAAGAGCAGTATCAAATAATGCAGCAACTTGAAAATATGTCCCTTGAGGAAGAGTGCAAACAAGAATTTCAAGTCAGTAATTTACATGCTTATTTATTCCTTACTGAAGTTAAATAGTGAAAGTTTTAACATTATCTTCTCTTCAGAGATATGTAGTACTCTGCTTACTTTCTTATTCTGTTCATCCACCTTGCATACATTCTCTGTTTTACCAGGATCATTGTCTTGGTATTGATATTTTCAGTTTTAAATCATTTTAAGCATTTTTTTTTTTCTTAAAGTTTCCTTGGCTTTTAACATTCTTGGGATTCAAAATATATACTTATAGACAGGTCATCACATATACATATAACAATAAAAGATAATTAACCCTTATCTACAATAATTATTCCTAATTTTACAGAAAAGAATTAAAGCACGGTATAGGGAGTATGTGAGTAAATTATCTGAGATTCATGCTGAACACAATAATAAAATACAACAGTACTATCAGAAGAGGAATGAGGAGCTAGCACATGAGGAATACCGTCTTCGACAACAACAAGAGGATGTCATCGATGCTGTTAAAAAATGCAAGTAAGTGTAGATGTCCTTTGTACTAAATCAATTTTTTTTTATGCATCATATATCTGTATATAGTACATATATTAGTTCCTACCCCTTATCTAAAAATATTCTTTGTGATGACAAACCTGAAATCTAAAAATAATGAGTTCAGTTTCATAACTGTATTTCTTTTATTTTCTCCATGGGGAAGTGGAACAGAATTCTTCCTCCATAAACCATACATGTCGTGAGAAGTGACTAAAATGACGGGAGTAAGGGGCTCGTAACTCCTTCTTTTGTATACATTACTTAAGTTAAAATGAGAAACTTTCTTTTTTTTTGGGGGGGGCCAAACTGCTTCAATGAGATATGGCCAGTGTGTTGAAAAAGAATTTCTTTTATTTCTTACCCTAATCATTCATATCCTCATTATTATTTATTACAATCAAAACTAAGTGCTAAACCCACAAAGGTCATACAGCACTGCTATTCATATCCTCAACCAACAAATACTGAGCCAAAGTGAGCAGCATTTTTCACACCTCGATTGCTTCAGTTTCTACTCTCACTGAGCTGAATTATCAAGCAAAGTTTATACCAGCAGTGGACAATTATTTTTACTGACTGTCCATATCATCAACTTAGATATTGTTAATGTAAAACTAAATATTTAAAAGTAGCACAAATTTGTGTCTTCCATTTGTACATTAAAAATGCTGATGAAAATTTATATTGTTAAAAAGTACCTATTAAATCTCACATAAATCCATTGACTGTCTAACATCTAATGCTCTAATCTCAGTATCCCAGTTCAACCACACCATAACATGCAGGTCATTGAATTGATATAATTTCAGTGTAATTTATTTGTTATTGACCAGTTCTACAGTTGCAACCTGACTCATTGTATTTATGACAGTAATGAAATACCCAAGCTATATTAACATAAATTATATTTTAGATCTAGTTGTAAGTTTGCCCAAAATGTATTTGCATAATCAGTGGCTTCAGAGCCTTCTCTTGTATTAAACTGTATCTGTATTTTGTGTGTGTGTGTGTGTGTGTACACACACACACACACACTGACCTAGTTGAGGTTGCAGGGGTCAAGTCCGAGCTCCTGGCCCCGCCTCTTCACTGGTCGCTACTAGGTCACTCTCCCTGAACCGTGAGCTTTATCATACCTCTGCTTAAAGCTATGTATGGATCCTGCCTCCACTACATTGCTTCCCAAACTGTTCCACTTCCTGACTACTCTGTGGCTGAAGAAATACTTCCTAACATCCCTGTGATTCATCTGTGTCTTCAACTTCCAACTGTGTCCCCTTGTTACTGTGTCCAATCTCTGGAACATCCTGTCTTTGTCCACCTTCTCAATTCCTCTCAGTATTTTGTATGCCATTATCATGTCCCCCCTGTGTGTGTGTGTGTATGTGTGTGTGTGTGTGTGTGTGTGTGTGTGTGTGTGTGTGTGTGTGTGTGTGTGTGTCTGTCTGTCTGTCTGTCTGTCTGTCTGTCTGTCTGTCTGTGTCTGTCTGTCTGTCTGTCTGTGTCTGTCTGTCTTTTGGGGAAGAGATGATGATGGTGACCAAAACATTTCAAATACAGCATCTTGGATCAAATGTAATCTGGTTGTTCCAAGGAAAGGAAAGGAAGAGTAGGTCCGTTTCCTAAGATCAAGAGTCCTTCACCTCCTTTGCAGGATGAGGAGAATAGAGAGGAAGAAAGAGTAGGGGCAGTTTTTATTCAGATTATAAAAAACTGTATTTTGATAACGTATACAATATGCCAAGCTCATAGACCAAGGCTATCAACCTCAATTGCCCTAATGTGATTGACCATATATACTGTAGCTTCTGTTTTTTTTTATTACAGTCATGAATACAGTCAGTATGTATCAGAAAGATCATCTTGGTTACTGGGTGTTGTGGAGGATGCTCGACGTAAGGAAGCCGAACAAGCAGATCTCAGGAGAGCACTTGTGAATCACTTGCTTAATACAAAGGAAACTTACATTGTTAAGCTAACTCAAATGCATCAGTTACTCAGGTATGTTTGCATTTTAATTAATAAATGGTTAATGTGGGAATGCATTTTACCATATATGCTAGACTGGGTATAGTTAAACTTTATGTACAATACAAGTTGAACTTTTGAGTTTTTTTGCCAAAAAATTGTTAATTAGTATCCCCAAAGTGGTGTCTTTAAGTGATTTGACAGATTATTCTTTTCTTCCTCCAAGGTTTTCATGTTAAACTTGAGAATGACTGATTCGACCAGCTTCAATTTTTAAATGCTGGTTTACTGTGACTAGGGAAAGCTTCCAGTAACTGTTAGCATGTGCAGGCACCCACTGGTCATTCTTGTATAGTCATTCCTGATTTGAGTTTCTTTGTAGTAACACAAGAAAGCTTCTTTTTATTGACTTCAGTCTTTAAGTATTGGTGTATCCTACTGAGGAGGAGGTTGGGATTGTTACTGGGGTGAGTTGGTGACAATTTGCCAAAACTTGCATTTGTGGTCACAATGGTGCCTGTGCTAACCTTCCTATGGTGTATAAATATACCTAGTTAGATGAATCATATTGTGGCTAGCTGGTCCAGTGGCTAGCGCGTCAGTCTGGAGTTTTAGGACTCTCTGATTGCGGGTTCTAACCCTGCCCGTGGTATGGTTTGCCAATTTTTTTTTTTAAATTGTGTAATATTTTTGAACTGTAGTGTCAGTACACTTTGGCAAGACAATGATGGAGTGAGTGATGATGAAAGTGTTTCTGTTTTTTTTTAGTTACCCTGCCTTGGTGGGAAATGGCTGATGTGTTAATAAAAAATAAAAATTCCCATCAAATAACTTGAGTATGCTTCTTCTGAATAGGTTCAATCATTAATAACTGATGCACCCTGTGAGTAGGATGTAAATCTACAAGTTTAGGCAGTGTAAATGCAAATTTCCCAATTTACTAACATAGTTAATAAATTTTCTCCATGGGGAAGTGGAACAGAATTCTTCCTCCATAAGCCATGCATGTTGAAGAGACAACTAAAATGCCAGAAGCAAGGGGCTAGTAACCCCTTCTCCTGTAAACATTACCTAAAGTTATGAAGAGAAACTTTCATTTTTCATTTTGGGCCACCCTGCCTCAGTGGGATATGACCAGTTTGTTGAAAGAAAAGTTAATAAATTTGCAATTATTGGATTCTAAGCAATAATCATATGCATTCATATGTTCAAATAACTGTATAATAATAGATTATTTTTATATATTAATGATAATTTTACAAAACAAATAGATCATGCCTCCTCTAGGAACAATGAATACAGAGCCTACCTTGTGTATTTGTGTTCAAAAGAATGCTGGTAGATATTTAGTGAACCACGACCAGAGAGTGGTGTTAGTGAAATGGTGAGCACCAACATTTTTATTTTACAGAGAATTTGAGGGGACTGAATCCTTGGACTCCAAAACTGAGTCCCTCCTAAACCAAACTGTGACTCAAGTAGAGGATGTTTTAAATAATGCCACTCAGAATACTGTAACACAAAAGCAACTTAATGAAGCTCAAAATTCTCTTCAAATGGGACTCAGTTGTGTAGATACAATTATTCAAACACTCAGTAAGTAGCTTAATTAATATAAAATGTTTATCTCTGCATACTTTAAAAAACCTAATTTATAAATATAGTAGTCCCCCTGTATCCGTGGGAGACCTGAAACCACAGATAGTAGTGAACCCTATATATAAGTCGTGTTTCATTTATATACATATCTATGATAAAGTGTTAATTCATAAATTATGCACAATAAGTCAAGAATTAGCACTTTTTCACTGATGGGAAGCAATTCACAGACTTTTTTTAGGCTTTGAAGAACTGTCAGCATTACTGTTTTTGCACTTTGGGGTCATTATTAAATAAAATTAAGGGTTGTTTTCAGGCCATGAAAAACCATGGATAACTAAAAACTGTGGAAACCAAATCCACAGTTAAGGGAGTTCTACTGTAATTTTTCTTAAGTTAAACTTAATTAAGAAGGAAAAATCTTGTTAGTTTAACCAGTACAATGAAGGATGAACTTTATGTATGCCTGTAGGTTAGACGTGACAATCTTGCAATCATATTCTTTTTATCCTTTTAAGGGTTTTTTTTTGATGCTCTTGAGAGGCTCTTGATCCAAGGAACTGAAATTACTACTTCCTTGGATCGTGCCTGATTATATCTCATTCCTAATGCATGATATGACTCCTGCAGGTTTAGCACTTCCTATGAATATAATAATAATATGTAATGTTTGGCTGCTAGCAAAAACAGCCTGATTGCTTGGCAGTTAATATGGAATCCTGGTTGACTGCCTAGTCAGTAAGGAAGCATGAGAGGCTGGGCTGTGAGAGTGGAAGATCCTTCAAAAACCTGTCATGGGTACAAGACAGGAAGCTTGAAATTAATTAACATATAATCTTGATCGTCTCCATAGGGAAGTGAAGAAGAATTCTTCCTCCGTAAGCCATGTGTGTCATAAAAGGTGACTAAAATGCCAGGAGCAAGGGGCTAGTAATCCTTTTTCCTGTATAAATTGCTAAATGTAAAAAGAAGAAAAACTTTCATTTCTTCTTTTTTGGGTCACTGCCTCAGTGGGAGATGTATGATATGCTAAAAAAAATCCTGATCATCTGCTGCTAAATACTTTATAGTACACATACACAAACCTTTGATGTATCTTCACACTGACATAAAACTGAATTTTTTAATTATAATTTTCTCTCTCTCTTTTTTTTTTTTTTTTTGTAGATACTAAAAAGGAAGAGAGAGCCAAGTTGGAAACAGAGAGAATAAATCAAGAAGCTGAAGAAGCAAAGTTGAAAGCTGCTGCTCAGTTGGAAGTGGAAAAGCAAAAAGCTTTAAGAGAAGAGATGGAAAAACTTGCTAATGAACAGATACAGGAGGGAGGATATGACATAGTTGCAATGATGGCTGGAAAGAACAGGTTTGTATATTAAACCATTTGAATTCCAACACTTATATTAATGAAATATAGCTGCAACAATCTATTTATTTTCATTGTCACTGTCATAAGTAAGCATTAGCTTAATGTGTTATTAAAAATGTGATGATAAAATCTCAATGCATTATTTCATAAAAGCTTATCAGAAAGAGTTGCTTTTAATTACATATTCAGAAATTTTAAAATAAAAGAAGGTACAGATGTTTTGGGGGAAAAAATTGAAATCCTGTTTAAAGTGTGAGCACTGTATTATTTAAGGGTGAAGGAAAAACTTGTTAGTCAAACTTGATTTTTGAAAGTAGAAAGTACAGTTGCTGCACTCTGAAGGGTGGGTGGGGATATTGCAGTTTAATCACTCGAATCATGATGTGTACATCTGAAAAGAAAGCTAGAGCTTACCTCTCCCATGAACTCAGACTTGTAATTACATACAAATATATTGGTATATTAATAGGTTATAATTAAGAAAAATTATTTTTAATATTTAAATTTTATTCAACAGATTAGAAGACTTCAAGAGCAAGGTGGGAAATTTTTTGAATACTGTTGACATAATGTCACAAAAGTACCCAGAGATGCGTATGGAGGTGCATCGAGCCACTAGTGTCATCAACCAGCTTAATTTAACCGATAACAGAGTGAACAGAGAAAAATTGCAGAAGTTAATATCCTTTCTGGCTGGCAGAGATTTTGGACCAGGCAAAGCCACGACTGACACTGATCCAGTTATACTAGAGTATGCAAAGAACCACGTGATAAGTAGCATAATAAAGTTTGGCACTGACAGGCAAAAAACTGGCATGGGTGTCTATGCATGGTTGTTAGTAAACTTGATTTTAGTTTTTCCAGAAATGTGGGATCTTTTCTTGTATCATTTGTACATTTCATGTCCCTATTTGATACCTATAAAACCAATGCAGATCGTTGGACAAAGTGAAGAAGACTTCAATAAAACAAAAGGCATGAAAGCTAATGAGAAATCAGATGCACATATTGCTCGCATGGGTACTTCTGCTACAATATATGGAATAGTTTTGGGCATGATAAGTAAAAAGCGAGAGATTCCCATAGCAGCTCCAGTAATAGGGTGGGAGCTCTTAGCTAAGCTTCTCTCCTTAACACCTACTTCTGGTGTCACAGCAATAATTCTTCGAAATTTTTTGGAGGCTGCAGGTTTTAGCCTTCAGGAGGCATATGGTAAACAGTTTTTAAAACTCATGGATTTCCTAAATAATGTATATATGAATAAGATTCAGGAAGTCACAGAAGGAGCAGGATCACAAGGCCTGAGTGTGCTGCAGAACTTTATGGAAGCATTTAAGACTACACACAAAATTCAACAAGATAAACATGTTGCAAATTTTTATTAAAAAAGGTGCTCATACTTCTAGATATACACACACTCATTGTGACTGTTCAGTTATTACTTAAGTTTGACAGGCAATTTCTGCAAATTGTATAAAAAATTATGTACTGTACATCACAAATTTATAGAGGTGAACACACAAATTGGTATTAAGGAGGTTGTTAAAATCACTTCCTTTCTGGAAAATATATGATTAGCATTATTTAATTCATCAAACATTGCTGCACACACACTGCAGCAGAAAATTTATTAAATGTCACCAATGATTTATGAATTTCAGTTTTTCAGAGTGAGTTTAGACATTTAGTAGAGGGGCCCCAACTTGTTAATGCATTCCTGAATTATTATTATTATCAATTATTATTATAATCAAAAAGAAGCGCTAAGCCTATTATTATCAAGACCAAGCGTTAAACCCACTAGGGTCATACAACCCATGCATTCCTGAAAAATTTTTATAAATTGAATGTTCAGAGCTCTGAACTTATATTTTCACAATGTATTCCTGTGCCATAATATTTGGTATCTAATTTCATTTTTAAACTAATAATATATGTCCAATACATGTCCAGTACATTTTTTTTTTTTTCAACAAACCAGCCATGTCCCACCAAGGCAGGGTGGCTTAAAAAGAAAAATGCAAGTTCTTCTTTTTAAATTTAGTAATTTATACAGAAGGGGTTACTAGCTCCTTGCTCCCGGCATTTTAGTTGCTTCTTACAACTTGCATGGCTTACGGAGGAAGAATTCTTTTCCACTTCCCCATGGAGGTAAGAGGAAATAAAGACCAAGAACTGTTAAGAAAATAGAAGAAACCCCAGATGGTTGTATAAATATATATGCACGTACAGTGGGCCCACCCTTTTCATCAATCTCCGTTATTGCCGATTTTTGTTTTCGTCAACTTTTTCCGTCAATATTTTGGTTCCGTTTTCGTCGATTGTACGGAACCTGTCCAGTGCCCAGCACACAGAGAAAGCCGTCTCCCACACACATTCTCAGGCAGTGTCGCGTGTTTCTTGGTGAGTGAACATACCCTGCCAGGTCATATGAAACATTTTTTAATACAGTGGAACCTCATATATCGAACTGCTCCCAACCCAGCCAGTTATGTAAGTGTATTTTTGTAAGTGCTTTTATAAGTGTATTTTTGAGGGTCTGAAATGAACTAATCTAATTTACATTATTCCTGATAGGAATAAATTCGTTCAGTAACGGCACTCGAACAGCCATCTTTAATGAAGAAAGTTCGATATTTGAGGTTCCACTGTAATCCATTGTTTTTGGCACTTCTTTATTGTGTGTGACTGCTAAATAAGCCACCATGGCCCCAAAGAAAGCTCCTAGTGCCAGTTCTTTGGTAAAGAAAGTGAGGAACACTGTAGAAATGAAAAAAGAAATTGTTCAAAAATATGATAGTGACATACGCATTGCTGAACTCGGCAGGATGTATGGGAAGGTGCCATCAATGATCAGCTCCATTGTGGCAAAGAGAAAAGAAATCATGGAAGCTGATGTTGCGAAAGGGGTGAATGCGATAAGCAAACAGAGATCCCAAACAATTGAAGAAGTGGAGAAATTGTTGGTGTGGATCAGAAAGAAAGAGTTAGCAGGAGATAGTGTTATGTAGTCAGTAATTTATGAAAAGGCAAGGCAGTTGCATGATCTCATAAAAAACTGCCTGAAATGAGTGCTGATGTTGGTGAATTTAAGGCCAGCAAAGGCTGGTTCGAAAAGTTCAAGAAGCAAAGTGGCATACACAGTGTTGTAAGGCATGGTGCAGGTGCCAGTTCTGATAAACAAGTGGCTGAAAAATTTGTGCAGGAATTCAAAGGTTATGTAGAGGCTGAAAAATTCCAACCCCAACAAGTGTTCAATTTTGACAAAACAGGCATGTTTTGGAAGAAAATGCCAGAGAGGACCTACACACAGGAGGAAAAGGCACTCCCAAGACAGGCTAACTCTCTTGTTGTGTGGTAATGCTATTGGGGATTTCAGAGCGAAGCCTTTACTCGTGTATCACTCTGAAAATCCCGGAGTGTTCAAGAAAAACTGTTGTCAAGAGTAAATTGTGTTTGATGTGGAAGGCTAACAGTAGGGCATGGGTCACTAGGGAAATTTTCCTGGAATGGCTCAATGAAGTGTTTGGCCCGAGTGTGAAGAAATACCTCCTGGATAATAAATTGCCACCCAAGTGCCTGTTGTTAATGGACAGTGTTCCTGCACATCCTCCAGACTTGGAAGACCAATTGTCTAGGGAATTCAGTTTTGTAACATTTAAGCTCTTGCCTCCAACACCACTCCTCTCATCCAGCCCATGGACTAGCAGATCATTGCAAACTTCAAAAAACTGTACACCAAAGCAATGTTTCAAAGGTGCTTTGACATAACCTTGGACTCTGAATTGACCCTAAGAGAGTTCTGGAAGAATCACTTCAATATCTTCCACTGCATAAGCCTTATAGATAAGGCTTGGCAGGGAGTGACTTCCAGGACGATGAACTCTGGTTGGGGAAAACTGTGGCCAGATTGTGCCCAAAAGAAGGATTTTGAAGGGTTTGAGGCTGACCCTGTCGACCCTACACCTGCTGTGCAATCAATTGCGACATTGGGGAATTCCATGGGGTTGGATGCGAGTGGCGAGGATGTGGAAGAGTTGATGGAGGACCACAATGAAGAGCTAACCACTGATAAGCTGAAAGAGCTTCATCTGCAACAGCAACAGACCACAGCTCAGGAAATTGCTTCAGAAGAAGAGGAAGAGAGATGGAAGAAGGTGCCTTCTTCAAAGATTAAGGAGATTAGTGCAGTGTGGACTAAGTTGAAATTAAGACATATGTGCAACATCTGGGTATCTTTATTGTAGACGTTTTGCCAGCCAGTGGCTTTATCAATACAAATTCCAGGACATAACTTGAAGACAGTAGAACTATGTACAGAAGATGAGGTAATCAGTCCCTCAACCTTGGAGTTGATGCGAAGAGCACCGTAGTCGTGGAGATTCTGAATCGGAAGCAAGACGCCTGACGCTTATATACTAACATCAGGTGGAAATGGGACATGTAGCAGACGAGGGCATAGTCACTGGATAAAGAGACCCAGATGTTGCACATATGTCTTTATTTCATCTTGTCGGTAATGTATACCATTCTTGTACAATGTGGACTAAAGTGCATTCATTTGTGGAAGAACATCACCCTGAGAAAGCTGTTGCAATCCGTGCTGGTGACTTTTACAACGACAATTCCATGTCCCATTTTAGGCTAATCTTAGAAATGCCAGAAACAGAGCACTCTGGACAGCTATTTTGTGCGACAGGGGTCCAGTGACTCTCAAGTTGGTACTAAAAAGCAAAGGAGGGAAGTGACCCCAAATAAGGATGTGGTGCCTAGTCCCTATGGAGGGGGATTCCCTTTCCAAAGAATAACCTCTTCCCTCCTACCTGTCTTCCGTCCATCAACAACAGCCATCAGTAAAGGTAAGTGTCATGTTGAATGTTCACTCTTTTGTGCATGTAAATCTATCTTTAAGGTAAAAAAAAAATTTTTTTCTTAATACTTCTGGGTGTCCGGAATGGATAAATTGGATTTACATTATTTCTCATGGGGAAAATGGTTTCCGTTCTCAACGATCACTCTGGAACGGATTAAACACGAAAACTGAGGGTCCACTGTACGTGCATGTGTAGTGTCACCTACATGCAAGTAGAAGTAGCAAGATATACCTGTTATTCTGCTTGTTTATGAGACAGAAAAAAAAGACACCAGCAATCCTGCTATCATGTAAAACAACTTCAGGTTTCTGTTTCACACCCACACATTTAGTACTTTTTTTTTATAAATAGTATTAACATTGGTCAGTTAATTTATGCATGCTAATTAAACAGAGCAGGTACAGTGCAGTACATGTGTGGCAGGCACTAGCTGGACTCATAGAAAGAAGGGGTAGAGAGTAGAAGAGAAAGGAGGAGGGGGAAAGTGGGTATGTAGTGTAAGAGGGTAGTGATAAGCATAATTGTGTGAGGGAGAGTGTGGTAAGAGGTCCCATGCCTCACACACTGAACATGTCCAGTACATGGGAACAGCTAAATGGTTACCACAACCCACTCAAACAATGTAAATATCAGATCTATAGCAAATGTGAGCTCTCTATACCTGCATATAGAAAACATACACAGATTATGAATGCATTTAGTAAAACTAAGATAAAAAAATTAATTCAGCCTTAAGAAAATTTTAAATATTAAATCACTGGTTACTGGTCAAAAACTGAAAACAGTTATTTTAAAATTAAATTGAATATTTGTCATAAGTGCAAAACGTAAGAAATTGGGGCTCTTCTTTTATAATTACTATTAGACATAAATCTTTCCAGATACTGTACACAGTAACTGTATAGCCCTTGTGGCTTAGCACTTCTTTTTGATTATTATTATTATAATGTACACAGTAACAAGGATTGAACTACAGTATGTATATGAATTGTTTATGTAATGAAGAGTTATGGAGATGTTGTATTTAAAATAAAAAATTAAATCTTAAAAACTGTCAATTCAGATCAAAAGAAAAAATTGTATTCAGGGTTATTATCACACTATAAGAGAAAAATTTCTGCAAGTGGGGGCACTGGTATGGTGGTACTGACAAGTTGTAGGCAAAAAGACACATGTACTGATCAAGGCATTTATTAGGAAATATTTCATCACGTGGCTTCTTCAGTTACCTCTGATATGTTACCCTACTTTCTATTCTTGCCTGACCTCTTGAACTACATACATTATTTTTACGATCCATTTTGTATTAGGACTGAAGAAGCAGCTTGTCAGTGCATACATCTTTTACCTACAACACCAGTAAAATTTGTTAATATCTTGTGTTCATTTGGAACTAATAACTTTTTCAGAAGATCAATGACAAAGCACCCTCACTGTACCCACCAAGTTATGTAACCTTGTGTGCATTTTTGCTTATTACAGAAATCTGCTGCACTGGTTCTATTTCTGGATTAGTGATTGCCAGCTATGAGCATTGTTATAGTCTGAATTAGGAGAGTTACAGTATATTCCAATTTAATATTTTGTTCATATACATGTACATGTACTGAAATTTTGAGTCTTACATTTTTGTCCATCTTTTTGGATCGCCTAAAACTTCACTTTCCCCAGAGATTAACCCTTTCAGGGTTTCTGACGTACTAGTACAGCTTACGCACCAGGGTTTTTGACGTACTAGTACGCCTAAATTCTAGCACCCTCAAATTTAGTGAAAGAAAGCTGGTAGGCCTACATATGAAAGAATGGGTCTATGTGGTCAGTGTGAGCAGTATAAAAAAAAATCCTGCAGCACACAGTGCGTAATGAGAAAAAAAAACTTTGTTTTTGGTTTAAAAAAGCGACTTTGCACTGTATTTTTGTGTGGTATTTATGATGGTATTCTAGTTTTCCTGGTCTCATTTTATAGAATAGAAGACATATTACAGAAATTGAGACAATTCTGATTGGTTTTACAATGAAAAGTACCTTGAAATTGAGCTCAAATTAGCAGAAATCTTCGATTTTTGCCAAAGTTCAAAAGTAAACAAATCATGCCAAGCGTCCAATACATGTCAACCGGTGAGTCTAATATTCTTTCACAAGTGCGCTGATATTATTTATACCATTTCTACACTAATGCAGTAGTCTGCATAACAGTAAATCTTCTATTTTTTGTGAGAATAAAAATTCAAAGTGGAAAGCAAAAGAATGTAAGAGGGGCGTGGGGACATGACTAATGAACAGAGGAAATGTTATTTTAGTGCCAGAAATGTCTTTCTTGTTTATTCTGGGCCCTATTTGGAAATTGGCAAAATTGCTAAATTCTGACCACTTTATTGGATAGCTGAAATTGGTAAATGGGTGGTTTCTTGTACTCATTCAATAGAAAAAAATGGAGTTCTAGCAAAATAGTTATGATTTTTGTTGACTAGTACACTGGAATTGGCCGAAAATAGGACTCAAAGTGGGCGAAATCGCCGATGTGTAAACATTGTCGAGACCACTAACTTCACGAGAGCATAATTCCGTAAGTTTTCCATCAAATTTCATACTTTTGGTGTCATTATAATTGGGAAAAGATTATCTTTTCATAAGAATTTTTTTTTTTTTTTTTTTTTTTTTTTTTGAAAATTTGTCAACCTTGAGAACAAGTCTGGGAGAGGGCCTGTCAACCCTGAAAGGGTTAAACTGAAAATGCAATTTTTGAAAGTGAAAATATTGAATTTAGCACTACAGCTATTGCAACCTTGCCTAAACTTGCTAAAATTTTCACAATGTCCTGTTAATTTAATTTACCAACCTAACCAAGAGTTTACTTAACTGTTTTTCTTGGGCAGACCAATCAGAAGACCTTAAAAAATTCTCCAAATTAACCCTTCAAGTGAAGGGCTCTTGATCCAGGAAACTGGAGGTACCATCCTCTTTAATGGATCAAATCCATTTGCCTCTCATTCCCCATGTGCTGGTTGATGCTTTTGGGTTTAGTGCTCTCCATGAATAGAATAAAGATGTTATATTTTGATGGAGGCTTATATTTACTCATGACCCATACAGGTTTATTGCTGTATCCCAGCAAGGTAAGATAATTTCAGACTGCATACTTTATAACCTGGTGCATTTGATGAAAATAATACTCCTTCAGAGTACAAGCACTGTACTGTACTTTTCACCTCCAGGACTCAGATCCAACTAGGCAGTTTCCTGAATCCTTTCACAGATGTTACCTTGCAATCAACACCAATAGCATGTTAAATCCTAAAAACCACTTGTCTTTACTTGTTCCCATTTAATATTCACACACGCCTGCTAAATGCTCAAGCCCCTACCATTTAAAACTGTCTCCATTCTGCTCCTCCAATAATTCCTTGGACAACCCCTACTCCCTCCTTCCACCCCACTGTTATAAACACTTTAGTCATCCTATTTTTCTCCATCCTTTCTAAATGATCAAACATTCTCACTAACCCTTCTTCTACCCTCTAAATATTGGCACACCATCTAATATCTGTGCTTGTTAACTCTCTGAAATTCACACCACACACTGCCATAAAAAATGACACCTTCACAGCATCCACCCTCCTCACTGCTAAGGCCATGTTTAACCTATTTACTGTCTCACATGTAGATCTATGTTGTTGACACCAGTGTTGCACATGTAGCTTTTCGTTTTGAGCTCAACTCCCTAAGATAAGCTGTGAGCAGTAAATTTTTGCCTAGATATGAGAGAATAGGTCTGTGAAATGAGTGTGCACAGCCTAAAAAAAAATCCTGCTCCATGCAGTGCATGGTGGGAATATTTGGCTTAAAATAGCAACTTTGAGGTGTTTTCTAGGATGGCTTTATTGACTGTTTCTTGGTATCTTTTGACAGAATGGCATACATACTACCAAGATAGTGTGATTTTGTTTTTTTCAGGACTAAAATATTAGCTTAAAATCAGGCTTAAAGTGGCACAAATATTTGATTTTTGACAATTTTCTGAGAACAGGTAAGGCCTCCCTACACCCCCTAGACTATTTTATGGGTTTTTACTAGGTCTGCTTCAGTTACCTGGATGCCATAAACCAGGAACAATCATTTCCTGGTTGTCTTTATTATTAGAGAAATAGGGTAAAACTCCAATTTTTGTGGAACTTGAAATGGAGGGCAAGTATAATATAGGAGAGGCCTGGGGACATAATTAATGAACAGAGGAAATATTGCTGTACTGACTAAGGCCTACAGTGTTTATTTTGGATTCTGTTTTTATACTGTAATTTTTTTCATTTTGTGGAAAATTGGCCAAATTACCAACTTAATGTGCACTTTATAGGATAGCTCTGACAGTTGAATGAGTGGTTTCTTGTGCTCAGCTGTTAAACGGGAAGGCAAAATAGTAAAATAGCTAAGAATATGGTTGACATGAGCAAATAAATTTACTTAAAATAGGACTCAAAGTGGGTGAAATTGCCAATGTGTAAATTGTACCCAGATCAATAATTTTGTGCCTGTTTAATTCTACACACACCTCATAGATATTTTTACAATAAGAATATACTTTGATGTACTGGGTATTTTTGTTCAAAATTAATAAAAATTTACAACAGAACTGGAACAATACACAAAAACCTACTTATGATGACTTTTTAGTCCAACTCAGATCAAAATGTCATCGTGAGTTTCTTTCTCCTATGTATTGGGTATCTGTGTACTTCTGTGCAAGCATAGCACTGATATATTTTTTATTAAACAAGGGCATCTCAGTATTTGTCTATAAATACTGAATATTAATACATAGATATTAAAACAATCCATGACAATTACACAACTTTTAATAACTCACTGGTGTACCCTCTTTAATGTTCCCTTGCATATCCCGAGAGATAGGCATGCCCTAGTTCAGGAACCCAAGTTTAAAAGATTAAAATGTTTTTTAATTATATATCAAACAAAATCAATATTTAAACAGAGTGCATTTATATACAGGGTAAGCAAAATTAGTGGTAACAATACTATAATAGCATAACAATTATAATACAATTCATTAATCTAAATTAGCTTCATTGCCTTAATACAAATATATCTGTCATTAACTTAGCCTGAACTTCAAGGAGCGAGAGCAATGGGTAATGTTGTTCCACATGGTCCCTCAAAGTGAAAACTGAAATTAAAATAAAACAATTAGTACTTACATTTTTTGACAATGATAGAAGTGGTTATTAAATTTACTGTGATAGTCAAACAATAGGAAAATGGCAACAGTAAGAGAGGTGAAAGTTTATAAACTAAGGGAGGAGGAAGTTAGGGGGAGATATAAGCAACTATTGGCAGAAAAGTGGGCTAGTGCAAGTATGGGGACGGGGGGGTGAAGAGGGATGGGATAGTTTTAAAAATGCAGTAATGGAATGTGGGGCAAAAGTTTGTGGCTATAAAAGGGTGGGTGCAGGAGGGACTGGTGGAATGATGAGGTAAAGGGTGCAATAAAAGAGAGGTTTTTACAAAGCAGAAATGATATAAGAAAGGAAGAGTATATGGAGAGTAAAAAAAAAAAAAGAGAGTGCAAAAGGAGAGCAAATGATAGAGTGAGAGAGGCACTGTCAAGAAATTTTGCTGAAAATAAGAAAAATTTTTGGATTGAAATAAACAAGTTAAGAAAGCCTAGGGAACGAATGGATTTGTCAGTTAAAAACAGATGGGGAGCTGGAGGTATTGGGTAGATGGCGGGAATATTTTGAGGAACTTTTAAAGTGTCAATGAAGAAAGGGAGGCAGTATTTTCATGCACTGGCCAGTCAGGTATAACATCTTTTAGGAGTGAAGAAGAGCAGGATGTAAGTGTGGGGGAGGTGCATGAGGCATTACGCAGAATGAAAGGGGGTAAAGCAGCCGTAACTGATGGGATCATGACAGAAATGTTAAAAGCAGAGGGAGATATAGTGTTGGAGTGGTTAGTATTTTTGTTTAATAAATGTATGAAAGCAGGAAAGGTACCTAGGGATTGGCAGAGAACATGCATAATTCCTTTATATAAAGAGAAGGGGGACAAGAGAGATCGTAAAAATTATAGGGGAATAAGTTTACTGAGTACACCAGGTAAAGTGTATGGTAAGGTTATTGTTGAAAGAATTAGAGGTAAGACAGAGAGCAGGATTGCAGATGAGCAAGGAGGCTTTAGAATGGGTAAGGGATGTGTAGTCAAGCATTTACATTGAAGCATATATGTGAACAGTATTTAGACAAAGGTAGGTAAGTTTTCATTGCATTAATGGATTTAGAAAAGGCATATGATAGAGTGGATTGGGGAGTAATGTGGCAGATGTTGCAAGTATATGGAATAAGTAGTAAGTTATTAAATGCTGTAAAGTTTTTATGATAGTGAGGCTCAGGTTAGGGTGTGCAGGGAAGAGGGAGATTACTTCCCAGTAAAAGTAGGTCTTAAACAGGGATGTGTAATGTCACCATGGTTGTTTAACATATTTATAGGTGGGGTTGTAAAAAAAGTAAATGCTAGGATGTTGGTGAGAGGGGTGGGATTAAATTATGGGGAATCAAATACAAAATGGGAATTGGCACAGTTACTTTTTGCTGATGATACTGTGCTTTTGGGGGATTCTAAAGAAAAGTTGCAAAGTTTAGTGGACGAGTTTGGGAGGATGTGTAAAGATAGAAAATTGAAAGTGAACATAGTTAAGAGTAAGGTGATGTGGGTATCAAATGATTTAGACAAAGAAAAATTGGATATCACATTGGAGAGAGTGAGTATGGAAGAAGTGAATATTTTCAGATATTTGGGAGTTGACTTGTCAGCGGATGGGTTTATGAAGAATAAAGTAAACCATAGAATTGAAGGAAAAAAGGTGAGTGGTGCATTGAGGTATCTGTGGAGATAAAGAACATTGTCCATGGAGGCAAAGAAGGGAATGTATAAGAGTATAGTAGTACCAACACTCTTATATGGGTGTGAAGCATGAGTTGTAAATGCTGCAGCGAGGAGGCAGCTGGAGGCAGTGGAGATGTCACATCTAAGGGCAATGTGTGGTGTAAATATTATGCAGAGAATTCGTAGTGTGGAAATTAGGAGTTACTAAAAGTATTAGTCAGAGGGCTGAAGAAGGGCTGTTGAGATGGTTTGGTCATTTAGAGAGACTGGAACATACAAGAAAACCTCACTGAATATTTGAGGAATTAAGCTTTTGCTGATGCAATGGACCATACTGGCCCAGGCTGCTCGTACATCCTGTCAGGGTTGCAATGGAGGCTAGCTAGGCACTTCATGCACGTTTGCCATTCATGGAGGTCCATATATGTACCTATTACTTTTGCATGTCTAGATGTGTGGCAAAAGCTTTCGCTCCACACTGTGAGGGTGCAGGTTTAATTCCCGGCAAAGGGGTGGAAACATGGGACATGTTTAGTTACACTGATTGTCTATGTTCACCCATCAGTAAAATGGGTACCTGGGTGTTGGTCAACTGGTGTGGGTTGCATCCTGGGACAAAACTGACCTAATCTGCCCAAAATGCTTTGCATAACAAGCGGCTTTCTATATACGTAGTAATATGTCATTGATGTCTGCTAGGCGTGTATACCTTGTACATGTTTTTTTTTTTTTTTTTTTTTTCAACAAGTCGGCCGTCTCCCACCGAGGCAGGGTGACCCAAAAAAGAAAGAAAATCCCCAAAAAAGAAAATACTTTCATCATCATTCAACACTTTCACCACACTCGCACATTATCACTGTTTTTGCAGAGGTGCTCAGAATACAACAGTCTAGAAGCATACACATATAAAGATACACAACATATCCCTCCAAACTGCCAATATCCCAAACCCCTCCTTTAAAGTGCAGGCATTGTACTTCCCATTTCCAGGACTCAAGTCCGACTATATGAAAATAACCGGTTTCCCTGAATCCCTTCACTAAATATTACCCTGCTCACACTCCAACAGATCGTCAGGTCCCAAGTACCATTCGTCTCCATTCACTCCTATCTAACACGCTCACGCACGCTTGCTGGAAGTCCAAGCCCCTTACCCACAAAACCTCCTTTACCCCCTCTCTCCAACCCTTTCGAGGACGACCCCTACCCCGCCTTCCTTCCCCTATAGATTTATATGCTTTCCATGTCATTCTACTTTGATCCATTCTCTCTAAATGACCAAACCACCTCAACAACCCCTCCTCTGCCCTCTGACTAATACTTTTATTAACTCCACACCTTCTCCTAATTTCCACACTCCGAATTTTCTGCATAATATTTACACCACACATTGCCCTTAAACAGGACATCTCCACTGCCTCCAACCGTCTCCTCGCTGCTGCATTTACCACCCAAGCTTCACACCCATATAAGAGTGTTGGTACTACTATACTTTCATACATTCCCTTCTTTGCCTCCATAGATAACGTTTTTTTGACTCCACATATACCTCAATGCACCACTCACCTTTTTTCCCTCATCAATTCTATGATTAACCTCATCCTTCATAAATCCATCCGCCGACACGTCAACTCCCAAGTATCTGAAAACATTCACTTCTTCCATACTCCTCCTCCCCAATTTGATATCCAATTTTTCTTTATCCAAATCATTTGACACCCTCATCACCTTACTCTTTTCTATGTTCACTTTCAACTTTCTACCTTTACACACATTCCCAAACTCATCCACTAACCTTTGTAATTTTTCTTTAGAATCTCCCATAAGCACAGTATCATCAGCAAAAAGTAACTGTGTCAATTCCCATTTTGAATTTGATTCCCCATAATTTAATCCCACCCCTCTCCCAAACACCCTAGCATTTACTTCCTTTACAACCCCATCTATAAATATATTAAACAACCATGGTGACATTACACATCCCTGTCTAAGACCTACTTTTACCGGGAAGTAGTCTCCCTCTCTTCTACACACCCTAACCTGAGCCTCACTATCCTCATAAAAACTCTTTACAGCATTTAATAACTTACCACCTATTCCATATACTTGCAACATCTGCCACATTGCTCCTCTATCCACTCTATCATATGCCTTTTCTAAATCCATAAATGCAATAAAAACTTCCCTATCTTTATCTAAATACTGTTCACATATATGCTTCAATGTAAACACCTGATCTACACATCCCCTACCCACTCTAAAACCTCCTTGCTCATCCGCAATCCTACATTCTGTCTTACCTCTAATTCTTTCAATTATTACCCTACCGTACACTTTTCCTGGTATACTCAGTAAGCTTATTCCTCTATAATTTTTACAGTCTCTTTTGTCCCCTTTCCCTTTATATAAAAGGGACTATACATGCTCTCTGCCAATCCCTAGGTACCTTTCCCCTCTTTCATACATTTATTAAACAAAAGTACCAACCACTCCAAACACTATATCCCCCCCTGCTTTTAACATTTCTGTCATGATCCCATCAGTTCCAGCTGCTTTACCCCCTTTCATTTTACGTAATGCCTCACGTACCTCCCCCACACTTACATTCTGCTCTTCTTCACTCCTAAAAGATGGTATACCTCCCTGACCAGTGCATGAAATTACTGCCTCTGTTTCTTCCTTAACATTTAAAAGTTCCTCAAAATATTCTCGCCATCTACCCAATACCTCCATCTCCCATCTACTAACTCCCCTACTCTGTTTTTAACTGACAAATCCATATTTTCCCTAGGCTTTCTTAACTTGTTTAACTCACTCCAAAATTTTTTCTTATTTTCATTAAAATTTCTTGACAGTGCCTCTCCCACTCTATCATCTGCTCTCCTTTTGCACTCTCTCACCACTCTCTTTACCTTTCTTTTACTCTCCATATACTCTGCTCTTCTTATAACACTTCTGCTTTGTAAAAACCTCTCATAAGCTACCTTTTTCTCTTTTATCACACCCTTTACTTCATCATTCCACCAATCACTCCTCTTTCCTCCTGCCCCCACCCTCCTATAACCACAAACTTCTGCCCCACATTCTAATACTGCATTTTTAAAACTATTCCAACCCTCTTCAACCCCCCCACTACTCATCTTTGCACTAGCCCACCTTTCTGCCAATAGTCGCTTATATCTCACCCGAACTTCCTCTTCCCTTAGTTTATACACTTTCACCTCCCTCTTACTTGTTGTTGCCACCTTCCTCTTTTCCCATCTACCTCTTACTCTAACTGTA